GCCAGGGAAGTCCTACTTACTGCCTTCTCATGGCGGGGGTGTTGTTTACGAAAATGAGAGGACGAAAAGCGAATGTCCGGCGCTTTAACCGGATTCCAAACCAATGGTGCACATGGGCTCCAGTATCCTGCGAAAACAAATGGCGTATGAACCAATCGTTGGTCACCGGCTTCCATGGGACTGTATCTCCTTACGTTGCTCCACTGCCTTGTGGACCAGACCTTCAGGTCGAAGGCTCGGGGAGTGGCCCCCCAAGAAAACCACCTGCCTCGGTTTGGGCACCCGGGCAGTATCACAGCCCTCACACATCGAATGAGATTTGTGTGGTGCATATGTATTTGGTGCCTCCTTGTACCAATATCCATGTGTTAAAATACAATAAATAAATAAATAATTATCGAACAGGCTAGGTAGACTGTTACCTAATTTTCTACTAAGACTAACACCCCTTTTATTCATTTAAATGTTAATTACCTGTCGGATGTGGTTGACAACCTATGGTTATATACCATATTTTAAGTCAAAGTGATATACGTCCCAAGTTCATTCATAGAATTAAGTCTACGACATCTGTCTAATCGAATGATAGACAGAAAAATAATTGGATACCGGCTCAGTGGTCTAGTTGGTTAAACGCCTGGCGCGAGACTGATAGGTCCTATTGTTGGACTCCTCAACAGTGCGCATCCATGACCTCGCGAGCGAGATTCGAACCCAGGGCCTCCAGTCTCGCGTGCGAAGACTTAACCGGCACCTAACGGCGTTAATGTCTAACATCAACCAATCCACGAAATTGCGCAACTATCTTCGATTATACTGAGGTAGATACATTTTTCTATCCAACATGGATAAACTCAACTGGTCACTGCTTCTTATTAGAACTCTGACAATTCCCTCATGAAACTATTCACTAGTGAGTACATGGTAATTATCAGTATAGGGTTGTAGGGATCATTAAGTTTTTTTGATTGAAATCATGAACCGGTTGATGTTAGATCATTATTGAAAACCTGAAAGCACTGAAAGGTCGTTTCGTCCTACTGCGAGACTCCTCAACAATAGTTCACTAAGAATTAATATTCAAAATCTTCCTCATCTGCTAGAACAACTTATAGAATACATAATAAACATGTTTAATGTTAAATTTATGAAAACAGTCATTCAATTTCAGTGAACTCTTATTGTATATTATTAAATAACATTTGTGATTGATGACAGGTATATCGAACAGTAATGATGATAATATTATATATGCTACATTAAATACATTGGAAATATGAATACATATTAAAGTGTACTATTTTAATGACAATACAACTATATGTTTAGTGAAATAGTATATACATAATAGTTGATCATTATTTCAGAGGCTTATACATTAGAAATATAGCTTATTGAATATTATAAACATATTAATGGTTTTGGAATAAACAGATTTTTGTTTAAAGTTTATGTCTGTAAACGTGCATATATTTAAGATGTTTACAGATTATGTGTATTCAAAGGTCCTACTCACTGCCTTCTCAAGGTGAGTGTGTTCTTTATGAAATTGAGAGGACGAAAAGCGAATATCCGGCGCTTTAATCGGGTTGGTGGACATGGAGAAACCATATACATGAGTTGGAAAACCCTGATTCCAAACCAATGGTGGACATAGGCTCCAGGATCCTAAAGGAACAAATGGCGTATGAACCAATCGTTGGTTACCGGCTACCATGTGACTGCATCTTCTTACGTTGCTCCACTGCCTTATGGATCAGACCTTTAGGTCGAAGGCTCCGGGTTTGGCCTCCTAAGAAAATCACCTTCTTCGGTTTGGGCACCTGGACAGTATCACAGCCCTCTCACGTATCAAATGAGATTTGTGTGGTGCATATGTATTTGGTGCCTCCTTGTACCAATATATATGTGTTAAAATAAATAAATAATATTCAAAGGTACGGTGGTGATCATGCTCATATAACTCATCAGTCAGTCAGCTACAACATAGGATAAGGGACATATATGCATCAGTCCAAGTTGCCATACCTCATTAACACAACAAGATGAACACCGGATTCATAAAAGTAGTTAATTCAATGGTGGTAATATATAAAAGAAAGATCACAATAAGGATATAATACAGGAAGAAAGAATTAGTTCGTAGAAAGAAAGATATGAAGCGATTTTAATCTCACGGCTTAAAAGAAGACAAGAGTGTATACACCGACGCCATTGCGATAGATTCTGAGCCATTTCACTCAGAATCTCCAACCATTGGTTACGATAGTCACGTGGACCTCAACCAAGTATAACTCATAAATTTATTTAATTCAACAAGACCATTGAATACGATAATTAGTTTGGGGATAGTGTAGATAGTAAGATAGACAATTCATTTATATTTACACATCGCTCATTTTTTAAGTGATTAAACATATTCAGCGAATGATGTCCTCACATAAAATGCTTAGAACATATCGCGAAGCTGATAACTGTAAGATTCAAACGCAAACACCGCCACTACGGTGGTCAGCATACACTCCTACATGTCTATCCCTTAATTCTACTACTCTTGAATTAATATTAGTAGTTACATCCCATTAAGCTAATGTAGTGTGATAAATTAGACCGGTGAATGTATGTTCCAGGTTCTATGATGGATATAACTGATATATTTGTCCTTAAGAGGAGCGATAGAGGATTACATTGGTGTTTGTGCCTTTAATATGTAATGCGAAGACAAATTCGCCATTGAAGTTAGGTTAGCTTGAAAAATTTGCGAAAAACAGACTACCACTGTTGAGAAACATCATGATATATATTAGTTTGGAAATTCCCAACTGGAATGGGCATAAGACTGCAAGTTGTTGTAATATTGCATATTTTGTCCTCAAAAGTCTTTCCTGTGATAAAACGTATGGTGTATAATGAAGGAAATACTGTCACTACATATATTAGATTTGAGTTTACTGTTTTATAATTATCGGATGGGCAAAGAAAACAGTAGACTCACAACGTATTGGACAACAATACTATATACTTGAACGCATATTTGACATAGGATTTAAACTTTGTACTTTTCTGCGATTATTGGCAAGATAGATGTACAGCTTTATTTTATTGAAATGTGAAGCTAAGTGCTTCAACGAATACTATTCAGTAAACATTATAATCACTGAAATAGTGCACACAGCCTGATCAAAACATTTCAATCAGTAGCTGAGGTATAATTTGTACGCAAGACAATTCATTTACCAAATGAATGTTAATGTATTCAGTTCTCATCCACAGTCTTAGCATATTGAGAATTGTAAGATTGAGGAAGAACAGGGTTAGAGCTTATTGATTGAAATTCGAGGGTTTTAACCTCAAATGGAGACATTGAGTGATATTACTAAGAATTAGCCTCAGTGAAACATTCATCCTTTGTTTTCATCTAGATCATGAGTTTTAATATTATTCCATGCATTCTACTACTTGAATTTATTCCTTCTTCATGAACCATATTTTCTAGGTTTGATATTATTTACTATCATTGATACTACTAATATTTCAACTCCTTTGGTTTACTGATGTAATGTGACAACTTAGCACGAAGGGCATTTGCATCACGTTATGACTGACGGATTGTGAGATCCTTGATTGTAACACATAAGACAACCCAGTAAGTCTATTTTAGAAGATTTCCAAAGCAATATCATTCTAATCCAGGTAGATGTAAGGTTAGTTATGTTCATGTACTGACACCAAAAATCACATTCAGGTGACGCAAATTAAAATCTTGCATATTACAATATCTCACGAAAATTCAGACGCCTCACGGTTTTATTTAACATGGAATTTTGTTAACTGAAACATTGCGTCATACTTCGTAAAACTTTAAGACGGTGTAATTGCTTTTTAAATCCTCGATAAATCGTTTATGTCAATTACATTAGCTCCTGGTTTTAAAATCACAGCAACTTAATAATATCGAAGAATTTAACTTGGAGGACTTTAGTAAAAAGAAACCCGATAATCAAGTTACATAACAAATAGGCTAGAAAGCCAATAATACACAAACAACCGGAAACTCAAGCGCTATATTTCTAGCAGCTAAATCACATAAGTTGTGAGGAAGATTCAGTCAATCAGTAAGCAACAACGTAGAACTTCGTACGTACGTACATCAGTTCAAGTTGCCATACCACATTAACACACAGATACAATTTTCGATTCAAATCCAAGTGGTAGAGGTAGTAAAAGTATAGGCAATAATCGGAAAGATTACGGTTTGAAGATGTTATTCAAGAAGTACAACCCAGTGAAGTAAATTTGGAAAGAAAAATTCAGAAACTTAGAATTTGGGAGAACACAAAGAGTGTATGCACCTGCACCATTACAAACAATTTTGAGCCATGTCATTCAGGGTCTCTAACCATCGGTTGCTATCACCTCGCGGATTCCAAACAGATAGTCTACACCTAACAACATGACTCAGTCCATTTGTCAGTGACTTCATGAATTGTGCCATGTTTTGGTCTGACCTCCTTTTTCTTTCTTCTAACCTACTCCTACACCGTAAAACATCACACGTCGGGGCAGTCGGTTGTTGGACATACGTAACACGTGTAGCAGCCATCTCAACTGATGAAGTTCCACTACTTCATCATTTGAATTACCATCCTTATGTAGTACCTGTTTCCTAACAACTGCATTACTTACTCGATTCCAGAGTTCTGCCAAAAAGAAGGAGTGTTTCGAATAGAGTACGCTTGTATGAACTTAGTTTGCAAAATTATTGGACAAAAACGTATAATAATCAGTATGGAGATTGCATTATTTTTAAATCTTAATTCAAGAGTCACCCACACTGAAAATCTGGAAGCACCGGACGGCCGTTTTGTTCTAGTATGAGACTCCTCAGCAGTGTGAAATGCTTCGAAGACACCTATGATCGAATACTAGTAACCTACGAATATCCTCTACTCTTATCGGACGGTTAGAAACTTGTACAAGTATTTTAGAAAAGTCTGAGACAAAACTCGAAGTTTTATTCAACACGATAAAACTCTAAAACGAGCAACGAGGTCAACAAATTTATGTACAGCTACTGAGGTGAATATTTGCTTTTGTTTTACTGTTTAACTAGTTCTTCACGATTCAACTCAAATAGTCTAAGTGTTAAACGTTGGTTCATTTTGGCGAATTTTTCTGTACATTTATTGACGCATTCGGTCTGGAAGGTAAAAAGAAAAAGGGTGAATTACCCTTGACATAAAATAAAACCATACCTCCTTATCATTTAATTTACGTGAAGTAAAATTGCTAACACATCGATCGAAGCATATTGTACTGCATCGAACATACAATTCAGATGTTTCTTTGATTTGCATCTACAAACAAACGAGGATAGTGGGGCAAGTATAATTGCAGTGTATTATAACTGACTGATTAAAATGAATAAAATATGAAATAAAGTGATGAAAGAAATATGGACAATCAGTTACATAGATAATAACGTACAGTTCATCGCATGAAGAAAAGAAGATTAACAAAGAATACTAAGATAATGGTATCAGCTTTTAGGTAGACATAATAAGAAAACAGCGATAAAACGTTGGAAACGTGTAATAAATTTAAGTTTTGTCAAACACGTAATTAATCTGGAACTATAATTCATCTAAATTAAATATTGCCCATTTACCAAGTCAAGGTTTATGGGACCAATTTTGAGCCATACTACCTTTATCAGTTGCCCGAGATGGTGCAGATAGAACTCGACCTTAATCTGTGATCTAATGACTGTAAGTCAAGTGATTGGGAGAGAGAGAATTCCTAATCACTGCCTTCTCGCACCACGGGTGTTGTTTATGAAATCGAGAGGACAAAAAGCGAGTGGGCGGCGCGCTTCAACCGGGTTGACGGATATGGAGGACCAACTTAGGGGAGTTAGAGACAAATGACGTACGAACTTATGTTGGTCACTGGCTACCCCAGGACTGAATCTCCTTATGGCTCAGACCTTTAGGTCGAAGGCTCCGGGTTTGGCCTCCTAAGAAAACCACCTACTTCGGTTTGGGCACCTGAGCAGTATCACAGGCCACACAAAAAACAAGTGACTTGTGTGGTGCATATGCATGTGGTGCCTCTTTGTACTAATATTTGTGTTCAAATAAATAAATAATCCTGACTTACGAAGGGATTATCAGTCATATAGCTCGGCGAATGTGGTAATGGTTTACGATCAAAAAGTGATGTGGCATCATCTCCAATCGAGTGCCCAAAGCAACACACTAGAAAATAAACAAATAGACATACCCTAGCATATCTGTGCTTCGTTCTTCTGCTCCATTGTGTTTATATGGATTATCATATATCTCAACTCATTTTACCGATGTTAGTATCCAGCCACTTCTGTAACAAACCGATTGAGTCACATTATAGCACATGCTAGAGTTTCGAAATAAATCGATGAATTTGGAAAATGTCATCAACAAGTTGTCTGAAAACTGAGTGGTAAAACTGATGTATGCAAAAGGTAACTTATTCCCAGTTGAACTACGAAGTGTGATTCAATAGGAAGATCCGGAGACTACCTATTTGATTAGTTTGCTTTGATTCAGCCTCAGGCTGAAAAATAAAGTTGCCATAAGACCTTAAAAATTGTACTATATCACTTTCATTTACATTATGTGTTGTAAACGGAGACGCACCAAAAGTAACAAGGATGAAGGAAAAATTAGTATGATAGTCAACTAAATACTCGCTCAATATACATTCTACATTGTCCAAGCACTTTCTAAATGACTCGTGATAGTTTTTAAGTCGCGAAAATTTGGTCATATATATCAACATGAAAAACCAATAGAACCAAATGAAACAAGCTGACAATTACTTTGTTTAGATATTCGCTCATTTCGTCGTCCATCTTGTTTGACAGTTAAATTTGATGAGAGATGATTGAAAAATCGATTTTGCTTAGAGCACCTCAGAACCACATGTTGTAGCACACTGTTTCTTTTTCGCGATCGACAGACATGTGTCCAATAAGTCGTGAGTGAAATAGAAGAAATTTTGCCAAATGAGCTTCACATTTAGTAGCAGCAGAAAGTCACGATTTTGATGGAATTTATGTGCATATTGTTTAAAATGACTTCTTATTTCTACTACTGCGCGGTATTTGAAAAAGAACAATGGTATTTCAACTCACTATATTTTATAGTATTGATCGTTTAATTACGCATCAAGGCTACTGTTTTTGCTTGACTTTAATTTATTTTAGTCAAAGTAATCTCCAAAAAGTATATGTTTTTTTCTAGAGCAGTCTGTCATCTGTACTTTTGAGTTCATATACAAAAAAACCGAAGGCACTGGTATTTATTCTTCATTCTTGACTATATCTTTGAGTATTGTTTGTATCCGTAGGTTCTAAGGTCTTTTTGTAACTGCTGAAGTGGAATTTTTCATTGTTGTTAGACACATCTATTTATATGTAGACATAAAACAAATTTAAATGGTTCAAATGGTTCAAATGGTTGTGGACGGAATAGAAGAAGCTTTCGCTTAACAGGCTTCCGTGTCTAGTAGCAGGGGATCACCAAATCCTCCAGGCAGGAACCTAGGTATGTTAACAATAAAAGAGGAAAAGAAATTGGTAAATCATAGTGCGATGCTGTCCTTGGTCCTTAAGAATCGGTCAAGTTGCCTCTTGAAGGACTCCTGAGAAGTCGCTTGGACTAGCTCGGCCGGCAGCGAGTTCCAGCTTTTGACAACTCTTAAGGAGTAGAAGTTGTGTCTACATTCCGTCTTGCTATGTTGTGTTTCCAGTTTCTGAGTGTTACCCCTTAGGTTATTGTTCGAACTAAGCTTAAGTAGGTGTTTAAGAGGATGTCCAGAAGTGTTAAGAATACTATAAGCCATTAATAAATCACCTCTAAGACGCCTATATTCTAGTGGGTAAAGGTCTAGTGAACGGAGGCGTTCTTCGTAAGGCTTAGATTTAAGTCCTCGAACTGATTTCGTGGCTCGCCGTTGGATACGCTCCAAAGTGACCTTATCCTTTTGGAGTGAGGGGGGGAGTATTATGTTTCCGTACTCTAAATGGGGACGGATGAAACTATTGAAGATTGTGTGGAAAGTTCTTCCGTCAAACTGACCAAAAATGCGCCTCAACGTTACCAGTGCAAGGTTTGCTCGGAAGGCATTTTTGTCACAGTTAGCGTAAGACTTTAAGTCATGGGGCACCAGGACTCCTAAATCTTTTTCGACTTGGGATACTACTAGAGAGGAGTTTCCTAAGTTTTAACTGTAGTTTGCGACATGTCGCAGATGGACTACTTTACACTTTGAAGTGTTAAAGGTAAGTCCATTATCGTCTGCCCAACTTTGAAGTCGAGTCAGATCCTCTTGAAGTGCCTGTATATCGTCTTGGTTGCGTATCTCTCTCCAAAGTTTCACGTCGTCGGCAAAAAGTAATAAGTCTGACGTTACCTGTTGAGGAAGATCATTTATGTAGATCAAGAAGAGAAGAGGCCCTAGTACTGAGCCCTGGGGGACCCCACTAGGACATTCCATAGCTTGAGATAAAGTGAAATTAACCCTAACCTTAAAGTGTCGATTTTTTAGGTATGAAGTAAGCCAGTCGATTAGAGGTGGTTTGATACCTAGTCGTTTGAGCTTGTTGATAAGACACAAGTGGTTAACCTTATCAAAAGCTTTTGAGAAATCAAGGTAAATGACATCAACCTTTCCCTTGCGATCGAGGATGCTTGTCCATCTGTCCACCGCAGTCAGCAGGTTGGTTATACAAGAGTAACCCTTCCTGAAACCATGCTGTTGGGGTGAGAAGAAATTTAAGGACAGTAGGTAGTCATTTAGACCGTCGCATATCAGGGACTCCATGAGTTTTGAAGGTAACGACAGAAGAGCTACCGGCCGGTAACTTGAAGGTTCATTGCGTCGACCACCTTTGAAAATTGGTGTGATGTGAGCCAACTTCCAATTTTCCGGTAGTTTGCCTCGGCTAAGCGAGTGTGAAAACATCACGCTAAGCGGCGTTGCCAGGATTGAGGCTGCCTCCCTCAGTATGGCAGAATGAACCATATCCGGGCCAGGAGAAGTGTCAAGTCTTAAGTGCTGCAGTTTCCGGAACACCAAGTCAGCGCTTAGGTCCACTTCAGAAAGTCCTGTGGAATTGCAGATGAAACTGTCGTCGATAAAGTTGATATCAGCCGGTTGAAATGTTTGAGAGTAATGGGCCGCCAGAAGGTTGGCGGCGTCGCCATCGTTGTTGGTCGGGCCGTTAGGTCCTAGCAGTTGAGAAACTCCTGTTTTGGCTTGACGAAGAGAGGCTGCATAACGGAATAGGCTTCTAGGGTTAGAGGCGAATTTGTCCATAAGCTTTGTTTGGTACTGAAGCCTGTCTTCTCTTATAGCCTTCGTGCATGTGTTCCTGATATGTTTGTATTGCCTATACGCTCCATCGTTATTAGTTCGTTTGTATTCCGCCCAACAGTGCCGTTTGCGGCTTAGGAGGCGAAGGGTACGGTTCTTGATTACTGTAGGTGGCTTGAAGCTTTTGGGAACCGTTTGAGGAACTGAATGGTCTGTAGCACGTAAGAGCGTGTGCAGCAAGAAGTCCCAATGACCATCCACATCGATTTGAGGGTGAACATCCCAAGCCACCTGTTGTAGATGGTCATGTAGAGCTCGCACATTCAGCCGTTTAAAATTCCATCGCAAATTATTGTTGGGATACCTTAGCTTAGTTTTGATGACAAAACTGAAGGCTATGACGGCATGATCGCTTTTTCCCAGAGGAGCCAGGATTGAGAGGTTGTCGACTAGGAATTCTTCGTTAGTGAATACACAGTCTAAGCGCGATGGTGTCTGACTGTTTCTCCAACGAGTTGCCGACCTCACATTTTCATATAAGCCCAAGTTATCGATGAGGTTGAAGAACCGAGCTTCAGTTGAGTTGTCGCCTCCAGTGTACGTGTGTTCCGCGAAGTTGACTCTAGGGAGATTAAAGTCCCCTAGAATCAGGATGTGTGTGAAACCGAGACGGATAGAGCGGGATAGTCCTTCCAGCATACGACTATCGTACTCGGTGTCGGCAGTTGGCTTCCTGTAAATGACTCCGACTAGACACCTGGAAGTACTAGACAACCTTACAGAGCACCATATGGATTCCTCAAGATTGTTAAACTCGAGGTTGTGAACCTGGTGCACCTCCAAGCAAGAGCTAATGTATATGGCTACTCCGCCCCCAATTCCTATTTTTCTGTCGTTGCGGAACAAAGTCATCCCAGGCAATGCTAACTCTTGATCCGAGAACTGAGAAGATATCCAGGTTTCAGATATTCCTATCAGATGGGCCTTGCTAGCGTTGCTAAGTTCACGTAGTTCATCCAGTTTGTTTGGTAAACTCGCGGCGTTCGTATATAAGCAGTTTATGCTTTCAATTTGGAACGCATGAGCTTCGTCCTGTTTTTCTGTATGAACCTTATGTGAATGGACAGGTAGCCCACCTATATGAGGTTTGCCGAGGTGGTAGGCCCTGTCCTTTACACGTTTTTTTTATCGTTTAGACAGTCCACAAGTGGAATGGTCAGCTCCAGCTTGCCTTTGTTCTTGGTCCTGACTTCGTATGGCCTATCCGGGTGCATGTGGATTCCAGGTGGCAATCGACGTCTATTAGCACGAAATGCTTCCAGAACTGCAGCCGCCATGTGGGAAGATGGGAAGGTTATCTTCATTAGACGGGGTCTAAGATCACCGTCCTTCTTGGCTAGTCTCGTCACATGCTGAGTCAGTATGTGTTTGAGCCTCAAGGACTGTTTGATGAATTTCCATTCCCTGATGTCAGAATTTGATTGAGTAGGGTCTGCATTTTCCGGTATACCTTGGACAATTATGTTTCTTCCGCGGAAGAACTTCTCGCGAGATTCTTTAGGGACGTTTCGTATGATATTGCGCTCAGAGTACGGTATGTCGGGCAATATTCTTACGTTACCATCTGATTTCAGTAAGTGACTTGCTAGCAAGACGTCCTCTACGTCGGTAGCATTCTTAAGTGTTACTCGGAGAAGCCTCGGGTGATTTAGATGCTTAGAATCCTTTCCTCGAGTGAGCCGGGTGACCGTCAAAGGCTCTATTCTAGGAAGTTCGAGCTTTTTGTTCAATTCACCCCACAGCATCCTGTCGTTTTTATCCTGCAGACTGAGAGGAAGGTCAGGATTGTCGACGAGGTTCATGATAATGAGAGAATCGTCACGAACTGTTGTTAATTTACCAGGTTTCACGATGGGTTCAGGTTTAATAACTTGTTTTTTGGAGGTCAGTGTGCGTTTATGAATCTTGGGCTCTTTATTGACCGGACGAACAGTCTTGGGGGTAGACTGTGCGACTAAATCACCAGTTATTTTCCGTGCAGCAACACTTGGGTTGCTCGGCTTAGGCGGTGATGCCTGGTTCTTTTGGGCTCTCTTAACGTGGGTCGAATCACCTGCAGGGTTTTTGGGAACCACTGTTGTGTTCAGCGACCCTGAGCTGGGAGACCCGAGTTTGCCTAGGGAGTCTAGTACCGTCGACGTAATGATGGTACTGAGCCTCGACACGTCGTCGTTAGTGTTGATGGATGCTCCATCGATGACATACCTATCGACATCCCTATTTTTGAGTCCGTTGCGCGCTCTTGTTTGCATATCGGTTTTTTTACTGTCGTGTTCCAAGTTAACTGACAGCTTGTTTCGAAGACCTGTCAGTAGGACAATGATGTTACTCAGCAAGACTACTGCGTCCGTGTTGCACGTGACACATACCCACTTTTGGTCTGACTTGCTGAGTTTGTTGTAAGCAGTTGCTGTCAGATTTGTGCATGCTTCGTGAAACCAACCTTTGCAGTTGTCACACTGCATGCCAGTTGTGACAGCAAAACGGCATCCCGGACGTTTGCATGAGTTTTTCATGACGGTGTTGAAGCAAACTATGTTATAGATGCTTGCAAAAGCTTAAGACCTTTTTAAAAAAA